GTCATTATTGAAATTTATATAAAAAAATCTATTTTGTTTAATTTATTAAAAAATATCAGCATTTTACATGCAAAATTCATTGATCATCTAATTTTTGATTTATATGTTATAAAGCTTATAATTTTACATGTGATTAACATTGGTATTGAACTTGAATTTTGGAAAATTTTAATGGGTATTATTAATTAACTTTAAGAATTATGAGAGGTCAGATACTTATGACCGCTACTGTAGCTATGATGCAAGAGTTTTTTAAGTTGTTTAGGATAGGTAAACACAAAACTTTTAGTAGACCATTGAAAGATATAATAACTTTCAATCTGATATCTTTAATTTATTAAATATGATATAGTCTCCACCATATCTTTTTTTAAGTCATAATTACCAATAAGATGGGTTTCCATAAGTTCACAAATTTTATACTTTATATTTGCTACTTCTTTTCGCCTCAAATCATATACACTTAAATTAAGATCTAATTTAGCTATTACATATTTCTTTTTAACTGTCTCTTTTTTAACCAAAGTTTGAATAACTTGTGAGCGTTTAATCCTATATTTTCTCTCAAATTGTGGGTATAATCAAGTGAATTATTATAACGTTTAATTTTAATAATTCTTAAAGAAACCAAATATGTGATTTTAATTTTTGCTTAGTAAATATTTGAAGGTCAGATTGCTTTTTTTCTATGTTTATTAATCAGAATATTTTCTTTATACCTTTTATTTGATTCTTAATATTTTGTAAGCTGACATATAAAAACCTTTTAAGAATCACTATTGGCAAGTCTCTATGAATTTCATTGTGTTCAAATATTTGTAACTAAAGGTTACTAATTATTATTGAAATCTCTGATTGAAATCTCTAAAGTACTATTTACATTAAAAATAAGACTCTGAATTTCATCTGAAGTAAGGTTAACTAAAAAAGATATAGCTACTGAAGAGATAGTGGAATCCTTATTAATGAAAGAAGATAAAGCTGTTAAAGAACTAGTAGAATCTTTGTTAACTAAAGAAAATATAGCTGCTGAAGAACTATTAGAATCCTTATTAAATAAAGGAGATGTAGCTATCGAAGAGATAATATAATTCCTATTAACTAGAGGAAACATAGCCACTGAAGAGGTAATAAAATCCATAATTTACTGCAACCTTTCCATTTTAAAAGTTTACTTCTACTCTTTTTCCTTAAACCCAGATAGCTAAAAAAAAGCTACAATACTTCTAATATATAAAGTGTTTACTTTGATAATAAAGTTAAGTATACATTTTATTTTTATTTTTTTGTTTTTTATTTTTTTAATTTTTAATTTTTTTAGCCAATAGCGTTTACCTATTATTCTTAACCAATTATTGTATGTTTATGTGAGGTCACGTGATACTACTTTGCTTTAACTATCTTCTAAATATAGTAAGTAGTTGTTATAAGTATTATTATATCATTTGCTTTTTTTTGATAAATTTCATGTAAAATAGAAATCAATAAACGATTTGTGCTATAAATTAGTAAGCTAATTTTTAATAAAATATTAAGTCATAAACTTATTAATCCCTATATCATGCAATAATCAGTTCAACCTAACGCTCAAAGCAAAATATCAGTTCAGAAAATGATGAGAGCATACCAAATCTGAATAAGCATGTTTTAATGAAATATCAAGTATTAATTAAATTATAAAGTTTGAATATATCTTCTCTTCTCGTTGAGTACCTTGTAACTTGTAAAATTGGTTGATATCATTTTTTTTTTATAAATTATTAAATAAATTATTAAGATAACATCATAAACATATGGATAAAAAAATGCATGAAATAGATATTGATGTAGTAAACTTAATTTAAATGCAAAAAATACGTCATTATCTATTAAATTGAAAATATTTGAGACAAAATCTTCCTTTATAATAGCGGTCATAAGTATCTGACTGCCTCTAACTCTAACTACAAGTAAGTAAATTTAAAATTATTTTTTATTTAAAAAATATATAACCAACTAACTAAAATTAATACATTGTGTAGTTACCAACTGATTTTATAAATGCAGCTGTATGCCTTTTCATGCTAGTTACCAAATTCGCGATAAGTACAGGTGATAATCAGTTTCATTCTTTTGTAAGTTTCTTCTTTAACCCTTTAATTGATTGAATTTTTTTTTATATATTAATTTTTATTAACCTCCAAATGTTTTCTATAGAGTTTTGGTCTGGAGATATTGATGGTCAAGAAAGTACCTCAATGCCATTTTCTTCCTTCTATTTTTTTACGATTTTCAATTGATGCTTTGGATTATTATCTTCTTGCAAGATCCAATCTATGTTACCTTCACCAAAAAGTTTAAAGGTAGAAGCCAGAAGACCCTGTTCATAAATAGTACACATAAATTCAGCATTAAGATTCTTTTGAAAGCAAAATAGCTTACTAAATCCAGAAGCAGAAAAACATTTCTTGGTGAATGCTTAATAGAATAAAACACTTTTTTTCTACCAGGAAACTGCCAAACCTTTTTTTTGATATATATAATTGAAATGTACTCTCATCTGTAAAAACAACTCAATTCCAATCAAAATTCTTATGTTTTTTTGCCCATTGCAACCTTTTCTTTCGATGGTCTTCTTTAAGCAAAGGTTTAG